GAGGGTCGTTAGGGCGCCGACGCGAAGCGTCGAAGCGGCGGACGCCGCGTCGTAGACGACTATCGTCGACCAGTGTACGTTCGTCTTGAACATCGAGCGTATCGCGCGCTCTGTGCAGAAACGTTTTGTCCGGTTGTGCACGATGTTATTGTCAGCGTGAGCATACCAACGGAGGAAACCGTGCGCTTCTCGGAATTAATATGCGATCTACCGCGCGACACTCTCGTAAATATTTTTCTTCCCTCGCAAACTTGCTCGTGACGAGATCGTGTGACGGACCCGTCGGTGCCTAAGGCAAACACATCGCGTTTATTTCTTCTTTCGTTTCATCTCGTCTTTCATCGTTCCTCGTGATTTCTGCTCGATTAACAAACAAACGTATAGATTTCGAGTCTTTAAATCATCGCGTGCATTTCAAGCTCCCTTCTTCGATGAGTCTCCCAGGACCAGTGACTTTTCGATCGTTCGATTTCGGTGTTGACGATGACGATGTTGATAGAGTAAACGGAATTTCGTCAGGAGGATAATTTGGAAGGAAAGGAAAGGAGTAGAGAGGGAAGGCAACAACAGCGAACAGGTTCAGACGTCGGCGAACAAGTTGGCTAATATTTCATTTCGCGGTGTTCTCGGTTGCGCGTGTTTCCATAATGTATGTACGTCGCGATTCTTGTTACCGCGGATGCATCCGTCGGGAAATACAGCCACGCGAACTCGTACGCGGTGTACACGCCGCGCGTTAAAAGTATTCTCTCGTTTAATGCAACTCCTCGAAATTCAAGAGCGTGTTGCACCGAGTACGCGGCGGCACTGCGGTGCACCTCTGCTCTTTCGTTGCCAATCTGAAAGTATCGTTGCATCTTCGATAGATGGATAGATCATAGCTCGCGATCGTTCGACGTCCCAAACCTGAGGAATATTTGTACGCGAAACAGATCGATCGATCGGTGCGCTTAATTTTCCCACGTGTTCGGGGCGCGAGGCCAGATGGAGTGAATTGCGCCGGGCTGTGATCTGTGGTGATCGGTAACTACCCTTTCCGAGGGGATAGGTGTGCGGTCTAGGAATCGGAGGTGAGATGCACGTCGGAGCGAATCGTTCCGCGATGAACTGAACTCGCGCGATTCGGGTGGTGTCCGCGATCGCGGGTCAGAAAAGACGGACGAGATTAAGAGCGGCGAAGAAACGTGCGGAGGGGTGAAAAATGAGGGCCCCGTTGCTGTTGCTGGGGGGTGTCGTGGTATTCTCGGTCGCGGTCGCGAGAGCTTTCTCGTGTGTGTGCTCGCCCTTCGAGTGTGACATTCTCACGGACGACGATTGTCCCGGAGGCCTCACCTGGGATCCCTGCAGGTAAGCCGCCGCGGCAGATCACACGGAGTAATACTTGCGAACCATCCCCTGACTTTCCAACACTCGCAGTCTTTTTTCTCCTCTTTTACCGTTCGCCGTAAATTACCCTTGGAATAAATTGCCCCTATCGAGAAATTGCGTGCAATTAAACTATAAAACTTCTCGTTCTCTTTTTCATCGGGAGTAAAAAATTCTGTTCTTTGCCCGAGAGACGGCGGCGAATTTAATACCGATATATTACCGGTGCACGCCTGAATATTCAGAAGGAACAAAAGCATCGCTCGTTCAAATTTTATGCCGTTCTTCGACCTCATTTCTAGTCCAATCTAGATTAAGCTGTCTCAGTCGCAACACTTCGACTCGAGCGTTTTTCACGTCAGCCAATCGAAATTTCCCGTCGTTGGACATTCCGCGCTGATCGAAATGCGAAAATTGTATCGGAGGGATCGATAGAATCGGTGAAGGTGAAATTCTTCGCAGCGGCTTCCGACAGTTACTGCGCGGATCTAACGTTTATCGCGGCAAAGAATTCCCGGTCTCGAGAGTCCTTCGGGCAGAGTAGCAGAGTCGGTCGACTGTTCGAGTCGCGAGCAGCTTGGAAATGTAGCAGGACAGCCTGCCGGTAAACGAGTTATTTCGGGCAAAGGAGTCGCGTGCTTCAGGATTTCACGTACGGTAAACATTTTACGACCCCCGAATTCCTCTTTGCGAATGCGAGCTGTGTCCCCTTTACGCGACCGGCAATATTCCACCTCATGTACCTGGTTCCTCGCTAAATTCTCGTCTTGTTCCTTCGTCTCCGTTTCGAATGTCCGATTTACCGATTACCCGCTAATCTTCTCTATTTTTTCCCCCGCTTAATTGCTGTCTCTTTAGTTTCATCTACGGAACGTAAACGGTTTAGCTTTTGACGAATAGTTAGGATTTGTGACAGGACTTGGATGTGACCGCGCCTCGGCGCTACTCTCTTTTCCCGTACTCGGAACAATTTCGTTACTTTTGTGCGATGCGACGAATAATTTAATCGCAGTCCGTCTAACGGCCTTCTGGAATCGCGTAAACGCGCTCAAAGCTTTGAGCATTGCGGTGCATCGGTGCACATTTTCCAGCCACGCGTTCCTCCTCCTCAGTTTCGACTTGAAAAAGCTTATCTCGCGACGCGACGCAGTACATACCCAGCGGACATGTCAGTTAACGTTTCAACGTTGAAAGACGTCGCTTATCGCACGGTTTGTTAACTACCATCGCAAGCTTTCCCTTCTCTCTCTCTCTCTCTCTCTCTCTCTCCACTTTTCAGATTTTCACCTGATCATCGTCTACTCACTTTTCCCTCCTTCTTCTCTTCCTTCGAAAGGAAGCTGCGACAAGAACGACGTCGAACATCCTTGACGAAAAACCGATTTATCGAGATGGAGTTTCGAGTTATTAAAGGGATGTATTTCGTTACGATGTAAACCGGACGTGAACGAATCTCGTTCGGCATCGTCCCGGCTACATGTGTCGGGAAAGAAAATTGTTTGGTCGAGAAGTTGGACGAAACGTGATATAAAAGGATTGATTGCCCTCGATCCTACGGCGAGACGGAATAATAAAATTGCTCGTCCTAGTCTGTACAATGTACACCCGGCATCTCCTCCGCTCCGTAGCGTAAGCATTATCTTTAGACGACCGGTATAAAACAGGATAAATTTATGGCTTTATTACGTTTGAATTTGTTTCACAAGGACAAAGACCGGGATGAAAATCGAGTTCACTTTGATGCGATTTCATAAATTCTCTCGCGTTCCCGCGTTCTGCCTGTAATAAATAAAGCTCGGAGCTTGGAGAGAGAGAGCGTAGGTATGAACAGGTGTAATTGTTTCCAGATGCTGCAAGCTGTGCGCTCGCGTCGAGGAGGAGCCGTGCGGTGGCCTTTTTGGCTTTTCCGGAAGTTGCGGCGACGGGTTGCAATGCGTCATCAAAAATCTACTGCCGAATACCCGGGAATTGGACGAAGGAGTCTGTACAAGTGAGTGGTATCGATATCCCTTCGTTTTCATTAGCCTCCCTAGAATCTATTAAGTAGGTACTTTTTTACGTCGTTCCGGGGAGGAAGTAACGGGAGATGAAAAATTTATGAAGCGATTCGAATCTCTTTGCGAGTCGATCTTTAGAATCCCAGCGATTAATAACGTGCGCCGCTTCGTCGAACTTTTCACGATCAATTTTCATCATAGGCCACGGGTTCCTTTTCCTCCCTCTTTCGCTTCCTCTCCTTTTCCACATCGCGATCGTATACCGGCGCCTTCTCCCTAATAGACACGCTCTTGCATACGCATAATGCAAATATTCTAAGAATAATTGTTACACGACGTTGATAATTATTGTTAAACGAGAAGGTGACGAGCGTGTTACGGACGACGTTATCGAGGACAGCCTTTTGCGGTCGTGATTATCGTCGATGTAGGGAGGTAATAATAATATTTTGCCGGGGGCGTGTAACAATCTATGGAAAAATTTCTTACTTCTGCTTGTGTCTGTTTGAAAAGGAGAGAAAAATAGTTGTAGATTGATACGCTCGGAATATCGAGTGACACAATTCCAAAATACAAATCGACCAGGGAAAGTGTAAAGGTTTGAAATAGTTTCGGTACGAAAGTGGAACATTATGGCGATTAAGTTTGCCAAAATTCGTTCATTTCTTACTTGCATCGCCATAGTCGAACGGAATAAGGTAGAAGCGAGGCGGCGCCGTGGTAGACGGTTTAAATATAATATGTATATCCCACGGAGTCAATCAATATCGGTCGATTCTTACAAACGCTTCTCGTAGTTCCCGTTCTCCTCGAGTATATCCTCAAGGGTTGGAGAATTGTGCCGGTAGCAAGAATTGATTTCGAGTAAAAGAGCATTTACAAATTGTTCAGTCCCGAGTTTTTCTGCTCGGTCGTTCGATCGTCGTCTCGAAGACGGCACTACACAAGCTTTATCTCCTCTTCCCGGAACTCTGCCAGCCAGTCATCTTTCCTCTTCACTTTTCCTTTTATTTCTTCTCCTATCGAGCCTCGACCTGCCACCCCTTCTTTCAAACTTCTCAACACTTTGAACTAGTCGAGCCCCGTGACTGTGGACCCGAGAGAAACGAACGGAGACGACTCTGGCCGCGAATTTAATCGAACAATTTTCCCCCTCGAGCCCCGTGTCGTTATTATACAAGTACTTCGCCTCTTGCGTGTCCTACTGGAAAAATACGTTCGCAACGTAGAGACGAACTTTGAGAAAAATTTGAATTCGTTTGGTAGCACTCGCACTCGCACCAATCACACCTCGGGTCGCGTTCCTCTTTTCCACGTACAGTCTCCGTGTGTAATATGCAGAGCAGCGAGGACAAAGTAACGATCTGTTTAGAATTCCGGATTTTATTAACACTCTCGCATGAGTGAACGTAACGTGGCTCCCGTTGCAGATGGCATCCAGCCAATTCCGTGCAACAGTGGCTCGAATTTTTTTTCAGAGGCCAAATGCTATCTGTAATCCTGAAAACTGACACTTGCTTCGACTTGGAATTCTCGATACATTTCGATCGCGTTTACACTTCCTCTTCGACACAAACTTTTCACAGATGCATACGTACGTATATGTAAATACGTGTGTAAGCATATCGTTGTTGCTACTCTTGTGCTCGACAGATACCTCGACCGTCTACCGTGGAAACCGTTAGTTTTACTATCGTCGCTGTTGGTTCATTTCGTTCGCTGGATACGAACGATTTTCAATTTCAAAACGGCGTAATTGGAAACTCGTCGAAAGAGTTTTTCTTGCGCCGAGGTGGTAAAAGAAAATAAAGGAACGGTTCAACTTCAAATCTCCTTCCTTTCGGTCGGATGCCCTCGAGATTCGTGATCCGAGAGCCCACGAATGCTTCAATACTAATTACTCGCACCATCTTCTCTGGTTATTATCTTAAAGTGCCAGCTAATTGAATCACCACGATTCAATTTCACCGCCCCTTTTGTCTGCGAAAACGTCTCTCGTCGGAGACAGCCTATAAAAATGCCGCTAAGGAGTTGCATATTCGCCCTTGAACCTCTATCCTTCCTCGTTTCTATTCGAATCGTTGTTTTACTCGGAGGACTCGTTTGCTGCCACGGAAAGTCTCTCGTAAAGTTTGTCGCGTCAGAGACAAAAAGCAAAATCGAGCAGTTGTAACGCCTTGAATATAGACTGTGTGTACAAGACGACGTGTAGTCGTGCAACGAGTAGAAAGCGTCGAATTTTACGTGATCCCTGGCTGCTGGTGCAGTCCACGGTGAAGAATATGCGGTAGATTGAACGACATCGAAGGAATACGAACATATAGAAGTACGTTTTCCACGGTGGTCGGTTTTAGTTGGACGATCGTTCAAATATTCGCCCAAGATTTTTCTTTCGCCAAACCTTTCGACAACATTTTAAATCAATTTTCGCGGAAGCTCGGTTGGAAAACGTTTAAGAAAAGAACTGAACTGCATACCCCCGTTGAATATAAGCCGATGCATATGCACTGGTACTTGACGTGGAAGCTCGGGTACTCGGTATTCATGGAATATCGTTGCTCGAACGCAAGAGGTCGCGACCAGGGAGGGGGACGAACAAATTAGTTTAGGTCTTTTATCTTTACATTGCCGTGGTTCGCACCGGCACGGGCGCACGCATCGTAAAAATCGAGCGTACGTTTCGCGCGTCGTAAACTTTCCCCGGATAATAGCCTTTTTTCGTCCTGGTTTCGCCATCTTCGCCAGGGCGAAGAGCTTGGGGAGGTTGTAATCGAACTGTTGGAACGAAAGCGATTAATCGGAATACGAATGAAAATGCGAAAAAATCGACGCGAGAGAATATTCCTCGACGAAATTACATAGATCGTTCCGCTCGCTTTTATTCGCCTCGTTTTACAATTTTATCCCGCACATTTTTGTCCAACGCGAGTGGACTTTGTCCATCTCCGATAGGGTGGAAAGTGTCGTTTGCTACGATAGCGCAGTGTATGCAGATTTACGCGTGCAAATTGTAAGCTTTGCACTTGTAAATTAGCACTTATAAATTGGCTAATATCGGGCATATCGTATCCGAGTGGTTCAACGTGCCTACCACTGCCTGTACCCGTACCCGTGCATATAATCGATGTTTATTACCGCGATTTGTATGACGCGCAACTCAATTAACCTGTGTGATTTACTTTAGTGGTCCGCGAGAGCGTTTCACGCAACGCGTCGTTCTATTGCACGCGCGACCAAACTCCTCTATATCCGATCTATTATCGTCGCTGATTCTCCCTTTCTCGCCGCTCGTACCTTCTCTTAAACGGAATTCAAGTACTCTTAAAAGGCTCCCTTTCGGCTGTTACGATAAAGATTTGGAAATGTGTTTGGTCGATAAACGGAGTTTATTCGAAATGTCGAGACATATCTGGAGCAAGGGGAGAAAAAAAGTGCGCGTTGGGGTGGACAAACAGCGAAGCATAAAGGAGAAGGCGATGATTATCTGGCGATAGGACGAGTTGGGGTCCATTGAAACGAGAACAAGGCAGTCCCAACGATCGCAGCCAGTGCGGTTGTGGGAGAAAAGGAAAAAGAAGGAGGAGGAGCGCGGTGGGAGATATCTGAGCATTCACGGGCCATTTCCCCTATGCTGCTCATAATGACGTTATTGCCTTTTGGAGGTTCGGTTGGTTGGAGGTTGGCGGGAAATCGTATCTGAATTCGTTAACCACCGACATTATCGGTTTTCGGCCGATGTACCGGAGATGTAAATTCGTTGGACTCGGGCAACACTCGCGACAAATATTGTGCTCGTCTCTAAACGCAAATTGATTCCGTTCGTACGAATCGAAAGAAAAAAAGAAAAAAGTTTTTATCTTGAAAACGATATTCGTTGGAAACATTTTTAATCCCTTTGTGCACTTACATTTCGTTCAGATGTTATCGAGCCTGTCGGCGCTAGCGTCGGCGCATTGTCCGCCGCGTTACGTATTCAGCGGAGCGCGAAAGGAAAGTTGACGTTCTTTTTGACTTTATCGAGAGGAGAGCCAGCAGGCGGACAGGTGGATTTTTCTTCTGCTTTACGGCAGTTGTTACTTGGTTCGAAAGGGTAGTACCCCCTGTTGCGCGTTCGGTTACGTGGCGTTTACGTAATCTGCGATCGGGTATGGCCTATATCCGAAGCGTGGCTACCTGGTGTGAAGGGTTGAACCGGATTCTACGTTAGGAACGGTGAAAAATACGTCCGAGCTCGAAGCTCGCGATGTTCGAACGCGGGTAACTCGACGCAAGTTGTCGGGGCGTTGGAACGACACGCGTGTACGTAGGTGCATTCTACGGTCCGTGTTCCACGATACTCGTAAATCTTCGGAAACAGAGAGGAACACGACACGGTTCTCGGTCGCGTAGCGCGGCTTTAAGTAAACGACGCGACGGTAGTTACCTTTATTCTTTTCGTACGGTTACGGATTAAAAATTAAATTATGCACGCTCGGGGGAGTTTGGCGGTGAAATATTGACCGTAACACTATCTGCACCAGCCACGTATCCTGTACACACACACACACACACATATGTATATACGAGTACATACATAATGGCGTGTACGCATCGTTTGCACGGTCGCAAAGTGATATCGAGCTCGATTAACCAGCACGAGCACGTCGTACCCTCTTGCGAGTAAGGTGAGATCCTCGGTCAGCCATGAACAACGTTTATGCGATAAATTAATCACACGACACTTCAAAGCTCTGCTGTACGAAACATAATTCTACCAGCGCTTAAGCCTTAAGCGAACGGCTACAGGCAAGGACGATTTTTTAAACGAATCCCGCGTTTTCTATCACTCTCCCCTTATAAGTTATCCTTTGCTCGCGCCCCACCGCTATCGATTCTGCCTCCAGCTACAGATCTCGCGATTATTTCAACTAATAAATTATTTCAACAATAATCGCTTTGCATGTTTTTTTCACGAACGTTGAAACAATTGAAACGGCACTAGGTATTGTGTATT